GTTTGTTTATGTATGTTCTGTGTTTGTTGTAAAGAATAAAAAATTTTATTAAAAAAAAAAACATTTTGCCAGTTATAAAAAACCAAGCCAATAAATAAACAAGCATACAAATGATATTGCAGATGCCAGTAATAGCTCTAAAATACTAATAAGATACCTAAAGGACTGTCAAATATCAGAACCAAATACGAAATAATAAAACCAATATTTATTTATTTATTCACTCAAGAAATGCAGAGTCTGAGGAGATTCACAGTGGTTCACCATATCAAACACTGCTGGAAATCAAACATCAAATATTCACTGAATATTCAATATCAAAATTTCTAGAGGATTTAAAAAACCCTATTGGCATAACTGTGGAAATAAATTTACACACACATACACACACACACACATTATGTATGCATAAATAAATATGTTTTGAAAATAAATTTACTAAAATTTCCATGAATCTCAAATCAGACAATAAAGTCAGCATTTGACAGGTTAACCCCATTTTCATCACTATGGGTCTCAATTCAGTTATTGTAATAAACCACAGTTAGTACTTACTGTAATTTAGAACTCAAATCATGTTTGAGCTTCCAAAAATACAACAGATAATGCACTTTTTTCTCATCTATTTTTGTCTTCTTTCCTCTTAGCATTTAGAACCAGTCCCATTTCCATCATAATATACATCAGAAATGTAGTAAATTGTTACTTGTCATGTTATAGATATAATGGAAAAATACTGGTGACCAAATTAAATGTCAAATTAAAACTTAGTCAATAGAAAACATAGTTTTCAACTTCACTTTCAAATCTCAGTTTCTGAATCTGGTTTGCTAGCCAACACCAAAACATGGTATACAACTACTACGAATAATTTCATTATGCACCTTTACCAAGCCATGGTACAAATCAGAAACACAAATGATTAAAATGTCATATTCAGTAAAAGTAGCTCATGACTTAGCAGTAAACCAGTAAACAAAGGTTAACAAAGACAAATCAAATGAAACATCCATTTGTATCTAAAACAAAGCCTTGTGATATGACCAAACACGTATGTACCCATAGTTAAAATAAATCAGGTATTACTCCAGGAACTACTAAGATTAATGAGAGTAGGATGAGAAAATCAGCCCCTACACTAATCCCTTTCTAATGCCATCGATTTTTCATTCATATGAAAGAAAGGAGAAAGACAGCTTATTCTAGGGTTGCAAGGCTAAGTCCCCCAAATCCTGGAATCCAGAAGCTATAACCCTGGAATGAGGAATGGAAGGAAACTCTTGCATAGAAGAATATAAGCAGTGAACAGGATTGTATGGAGAAATAAGGATAGACAGATACTAGGCTGAATGTATGTGTGCGTAACTGGAGAACTCTAAACACAAGTACCAGTACAGTAGTTTAAACTGGACTGCCTCAAACAGGAAACCAGTGAAGACTCCTGTGTTGTAATGAGACTTGAGAATAGCATGGAGGGTCCAAAGCAGCCCAAACAGCAGTGTTCTAACTAAGACTGGGGGCCAGAAATAGGAATTAGGACTATTGCAGTAATTTAGGCATGAAACTACCAAACATATATTAATAAAGCCACAGACTCCCCTTTCAGAACCCTCTGTTTCTACAAACATTCATCAAATGAGAACTAGTGATCCCCAATCAAGATCTGAGGTTTCACATGGAGGAAACTGGGACAATCTGGGAGCCCTGGAGACAAATAGTGGGAAGACACAATGAAGGGTGGAAAGGATGACCAGGCTGAAACACAACAAACACAACAAACTCAAAAATCTCCACCTACTGATTCACGTTCTACTTAAGGCAATGAAAGGGGATCCAAAAGGAAATGTTAATAAAACACTCTATCATGAGTCACCCCGTATTGACATCAAAGACCACAAAAGACCAATAGACATATCATTAGTGTAACAATGAGACTGTGGATCACGTTACCCAACAGAAGTGTGTATAAAGGATAAACAGGATTCCTGAGGGTTACCCACTAAACAAGGAAACTCCTGGGACTGCAATTCACCATACTGTAAAAGAACAAGAAACAGCAACAGAGTACCTTAATTATATTAATGATAATCAAAAATGCCTGCACTAGTATACTCCTTAATGATGTTTGATTTGAATCGACAGGCAAATGAGCATGTCCTTAGTTCTAATATATAGACAGGAAATGACCCCACTTCTCCAGACCTCTCTTTAGCAAATGGTACCCAAGTGACAACTATACAATTAAACCAGTGAAATCTAGTCCTGACTGTCTCTCTTTCAGTATACTGTCATACTCAGATATAACCAAGGAAACAGCCCAGATAATGACTATGACTTTATTTTCTGCTGGGATCAGCAGAAATAGGATGAGACCCCATCCAAATAGAATTCTCAAATGTCCATATGGTTGCCATAGTAGGAATACAACCAGTTCTCACTTGATCTGTACTATAACACATCACATCTACACATCCTCACAATGATGGTATTTCATTTATCAACACAGAACAAATTTTTGCTTCACAACCTTGGCTTCAGAAGATATGCTGATACTGAGAATACTTTTCAGCTGGTATCATTAAAAATGTTGCCAAGCTGAAGTATGTGGCAAGAAAAGGAAAGTGAAATGAAGTATTTTAACATTCCTCCAATCTGTTGCCCACCCAATTCCTGGTAGGTTGCCTCACTGTGGGGTATGTGTGTTCCTGGGAGTGATGAGTGAAGAATGCAGGGAATGCATGTTAAGAGTATATACTCTCAAGCAAGAACACCCAAGGGGTGAAGTCATTCCATCTGCCAAGTATCTTTCGGAATAATAATGCAGCTTATGATGCAACTACATTAAAGCCTTCTGAACATCTCATTGCTGGTGTTGCTATGCAGGGAAAGAAAATCTGAAGCTGCAAATATAGAATTACAGTTTGAACATGAAATGTAAGAAGTATGAAGATGGGAAAGTTCACCATAGTGAAAGATGAAATGAATTGAATACACTTTGACATCTTAGGCATGAGTGAATTGAAATGGACTGCAGTTGGACACTTTCAGACAGAAGATCATACTGTTTATTACTCAAGATGGGAAAAACAAAGCAGGGATTGCACTGATTTTATAGTCAGGAAGGATAGAGCTACAACAGTACAGTCAATCACTAAATAATATCAATTATATTTTGCAGACAACCTGTTATTATAAGGGTTTATGCTCCAATTACTGATGCATAAGAAGAGGAGGTGG